GATATGCTTGGTCTTCCCAATCAAGCTATGACTTTGTGTAAGTCGGCCTAATGACATGACGTACCCCAAAAGCCATTTGATCCTGTACTATTTCCATAATTTGATTCCTCAATATGACGTTGTGGTCATATGGAATTCTTACATGTTAGTTGACCGGTTGAGTTGCCAGAAGCCTAACATTTGGTCCTTGGTTGGCGACAAAGTTGCCATTATTTGGGCCATTGTTACCATTAGCCTGAATATTTATTCCATCATTAACACATGGGATATTATGTCCATTATTCAGGACATTGTCTCTTATATTTAGGTTATCTCCAAGTTTGATGTACCATTACCACTATTCAGGTTTGGCACTACACTGCCCCCTAGTTTGAAGTAGATGGACCAAAAGGTGGTTATGTCCCTTGATTTGGACTTAAGACTGGAGAATTATGTCCTACAATCGTCCTAGTTTGAAAGTGATTTGCAATAGGCACAACGACTGACAAATTTGGCCTACTAATTTGTTCAATATTTCATTTAATGTATTTAGTTGTTTGGCCATGTTGTCATAATGTGCATTCTCATTCTGGGTAAATCTTTCCATATTATGAATATTTCGTAGATTTACCTGTTCAACGACATCCTGTGTGAGTTTTATAAGTAATACACGCATGGTTCGAAGACTCAACTCTGTCATTGGTTCGTAATGACTGTGACTGCTCTGACTCTGTCCCTCTATTCGTGGAGAGCTTTGCTACTCCTCATATCGTTCGATCACAAACTGGACTACTCCCTGACTTGCTGGTTCCTTATCAGACTTATGAGGCATATTGTTTCACTTTTTGTATCTTCAAACACCAAACACCAATTGTCCCACTAGGTGTGACAAATTGTTTCATGCGGGTTGTCACTAACAGTTAAATAATGATTCAGACGATTGTATAAGGAACAGACCTCTTGAGACAAAATCCCAAAAATGAGTGTTTTATTGGTGAAGATTTACAATTGGAAATAAACAGAATGCCTCCAAGGGGCGTAAGTACACGAGTAC